ACATTCAGCTGAATGAGTATGATCTTGTTTTTAAGTCGAAAACTTTTCCGTAATAACGAACGATTATTACAGCAGCGGTTATTATAGCGGTTTGCATCTGAATGGTATCAATGTATTATTGTGAATATTCATGAGTAATAAACGCGTACACAGTGCTGGGCAGATCTGAGGTGTGTGAACGTACATTCCGCTACGAATACAAAATACAAAATGTTTAAAACTCGCAGACACTCACATTGCATATTTTAGTAGTATAAATAAACGACTCTTTAAAGTGCTTTTTTTCGTATTGAGATATTGACATTATTATTGTATTGACATTAAGTCTACTTGGTTCTACATCTTCAAGTGAGGAAAACGGAAATAATTAATAATGCTCCTTTGATGTTACGGAGGAAATTTAGACCGAGAGGAAATTTGAAATTCTACGTTAAGTCTTCAAGTGAAGAGAACGGAAATAACTTTCCGTTTGTAGCATTAAAAGAAGCACAATAGAAGACTACTAAAGACTTAATGTAGAACTGATATGACTTATGAATGTCTTAAAATGAATAGACTTAATATAAAATTGAACTTTCGACTCGGGTATTTGCGTATACTTGTCATATTCCTTTGCTTAATAGGCTTTCTCTCTCTGAGTGTGTGTGTGTGTGTGTGTGTGTGCACCTGAGAGTGCAAAAAACGGGCATAAAAATGATAGAACGTTAAAATCGGGCCGCATGAGGGGATAAAAACGAAATGAAATATTTTTGTAACGGTCGACACGAAACTCGGGAAGCGGACTTTTGAAGTCTGTCCGGCGCGGATACCGCGCGCTATTGTAAGGGTATTCGCGTAATGAACGCAAGAAATTAACGCTCTCGCTTGTTTTTATTACGCAGGAGCCGTCCAATTACGCGTCGACGTTCGAGCGCGCATTTTATCATGCAAACTAAGTCCGCGCGCTGTGACTATTAAACATCTCCATTTGTCGGCGTTTAAGCGTAAAAGTGGCTCGATAACAGGATCGCCATGCCGGCGAGAATACGCGTCTATATTAAGAAATGTCTCTCTCGGAGCCATTAGTTCTAACAAACGCGACCGGATATCAACGTCGAGACCGGAGAAACGGGTTCGCCGCGGACTTTTCCGCCGGCGCGCGAACCCGTTCGAATTTCGCGCTCCGCTCCCGTAACACCCGCGATAACCATAATCGCTCCCTTCGAGTGCGTTACCCGTCGCGATACGCGGCATTACCGTCCGAATTTATCACGCCGGTCTAACTGTAACGGCGGCGGGAGAGAGAGATTCGCGCGACAAATCGCCGCGAGAAACGACGAATCCCGCCGCCGTCGTCGTCGTCGTCGTTGCATACGCATTCAACGCATATTAGAGCGATTTACGCGCGTAATAGCGTGCATGTCCCGCGCGCGCGGGAGACCACGGGGAAATTAATCGCGGAGAGCCCGGGAACTCTCCCGGTGAGGCTGTGCTCGTCGTCGTGGGCGAAAGCACTCGCTTGACAAATCGCGTCGAAAACGATAGCGCGCTGCACGGCAACGGATATCGCGAGCGTGCGAGAACGCGAACGCAATAGGATAACGGTTAATACCCCATGCATTAAACCATGCAAAAGTGTCCTTTGNGGGGGGGGGGGGGGGGAGGCAGGCGACGAGCATCGGGGCGTTAACGAACGATATCGCGCCGCGAAATTAATCGCGCCGCGTTCCCGTCCGCGGCGCCGTGGGCGAAGTCATTTGTACGCGGCGATCGAATTGAAAATGATAGCGAGAACGTCTCGGACGATGCCGTTTACAGTGACACGTCGGCGACGGCAACATCCACCCGTGATTGAGCTACGGTTATATATCAGTGGACGACGATTCGTTGCTCCCCTTGGATCTAGCGAAGCAGGTTTAAGGCCGGTATTCATGCGCCAAATCTTATATTTAAGATCTTATATTTAAGATCGTCTTAAGTTTATCTTCCGATTCTGTACGGATCGTTCCACTGGTTATAATATATCTAAAGGTGGACTTAAAACGGTCTTAAATATAAGTGATGACTATGAATACCGGCCTAGAAAATGCTTACTCTGTTTTAACTTAATCGAGATAACATGAACCAAGATCGAAACTACTTATTTCATCGAATTCCGATTTTTAATTCTCAATCTTTAAATCTCAATACAATACTGAAAAAAAGTACTACCGTTCGAGTAAGATTTATTTGGACCAAAATGATTGCTCCAAAATTCTTCGACAAATATTTACTCGAAGTAGAAATATAATATTTCCTTCGTATAAGTTTAACTTGTACGAAGTAAGCAGTTAAGTAAACACGTTTAATTACGTGTTAAAATAGTTGCGACAAGTATTAAATTTTCACGATATTGAGAATATTAGAATTTACTTAGGACTCAAATTTAATTATTAATTAAATTTTATTAGGAATTTAATTTTTATTTTTAATTAGGAATCAAATATAAATCCCCTTACAAGAACGGATTAATCGGGAACATTAAAAATAATTGTTACTTTAGGATAGAAAAAATTAATTCAGCGTGTAAGGCAGATTCTCCGCGTACGATTGCTGAACGAAAAGATTCGGGTGTATGTTCAATGTACGATTAACGGGTATCTTCCCGCAAATAATATTAATATCAATTATATTAATATTAAACTCGCACTATAGGACACCCGCTTAGATTCTTATAAGCCTAATTAAAGGATCTCCATCAGAATTTATTTTTCAAAATTATTCATTCAGGCAGAAAAATCGAAATATTTAAAACCATTAGATTTCTTCAATGGGAAAAAAATATTATGGTAAATACTTTCTTAACACGTTCGCTGCAAGGGTCCAAATTAACGTGCTTATACTACGGATTAACTCGTGTTTGGCACAGGAAGTCGGTAATCGATATATGAATATATGCGTAGTTGGCTTGTGAGGCTCATATGCCAACTACGAGTATACTCGTAGTTGACAGCGAACGTGTTAAATTTAAAATCATTTTACACTTACATTCAGTAATACATTTATAAATTACGGTATTACTGCGTTCAATTATTCACTACAAGCTATTGAAATATACTTAAATTAATAAAAACATTACTTGATTTATGAGTTTGAAAACAGGTAGTTACGTTTATTTACGTCATTCGATACGCTTTGCGTGATGATTTCTTTGGGTAAAACGTGATAAGCGTTTTTAGGACACGCTTCATTAGATCCAAGGAGGGACGAATCACTGTCCACGGGTGTACATTGATCGCGTTGTACGGGTCCACGGGGCCCCTCGATCGTTTCTGCGGCCTCCTGTTCGCCGCTGCATTTTCCTGGACGATTAATGACGCCGTCGCGCTTACCGCGTATCTCAGTAGCGATGGTCTCCGTGCGCGCGAACACGCGGTAAACATTTCTCCGCGCATCTCTCCTCATAATTCTCCTCATACGGTATCAGCCTTCGCTTCGATCTTTGTACGGTGACGTGATAGCCGCGATCCTGTTTCTATCGCTTCGTCGTCCGCTGATTGCAATTTATATAGACGCGAGCCTTTTACGATCCGCGCGACGTCGCGCTACGTCTCCGAGCAATGTTCTTTTATGCGACGTGACAGAACGGTGTGTGCTATAACACGTGAGAATTATCGGCTCGTTTCGTCCCGTCCCGGACGCCTCTCGGATTCTCCGCTGATCGAATTTACATCGATTATCTGTGTCATCGGGATGCCGGCGGAATTCTTCCGCGGGCTCCTTCACGTAAAAAGGATTTCAGTAGCTAAATTAGTTGTAACACATGGACACTTAAAATTTTCACAGTGTAAGCAATTTTAATTTCTAGCAAATCCTTTTGCCGCCGCAGCAAAAGAGTTTGCTAATGCAGCAATTAAAATTGCTTACACCGCTAAAGTTTTAGGTGCCCATATGTTACTGTGATTATGTAATTTAGCTATTGAAGCTAATCTTTTTTTGCGTGTTCTTCTATCGCAGCTTTGCGCCCGTCAGGACACCGTTCCATATCGACCACTTCGCTACGACTATTTTCACTTTTGACTCGTAATATCCTCCGCACGACTCGATTTCACGATGACTTTTATCGCGAACATCGAAGTGGATCCGTCGACGATGTCGCTCGTAAACGCATATCCGCGGCCGCTTGTCCGCTCAAAAGTGTGTCTAAATGCGCGAGAAAAGAACGGCTTCCTTATGTATGTTTGGTTTTGCAAGTCGGAGATATCAGTTTGCTCTTAAGATTATCTTAAGATATTTAGGCAATAAAACGATCTTCCTGGAGCAACCAGAGCAAACTGACGTCACCGATTTGCAAAACCGAACGTAGCTTTTAAGGTCGATTCTCACTATATAGTCCAAGCACGGTCAGATCACGGTCGCAGTTATAAATTTGTTTACCTCATTCGCACTTTTCGATCATCTGGTGGTCTTCCGTCTTGTACTATCATCTATCAAAGTACCTTGTTTTAAAATGCCGTTCAAGCTTTTATAAATGTTTCGATATATCACATGATATTATAGAACGAGTGTGTTATAATATTTATAATACGGGAAAAATAAAACATATAACTTTTGTTGCGGTTTTTCTAATATTTCACTCCATACCTTTAATTTGCATAAAGTATCGCAGTATTTTTCGTGAGAGAAATTGTACAATTCCTCCTTTATACGCAAACATAAGTTTATCGTTTATCTCAAATAAGAAAGACGAACTTCCTTAGATGGAAGCTTCTATTGACCGTCTGCTGATTGTCTTTCGACTGTTTCGCGTTCTCTCTTGACGATCACGCTACGGTCCAGATTTCTTCCGAAGAATCCTTGCGGTCTCGTGACCGCCGCTTGAGTCGACCGTGACCGACAATGTGAATGCAAACTCGAGAAAGCATTGAATCAAACAGAAGCGATATTCGACCGAAACTGTTCTGACCTGACCGTGACCTGTGAACCGATAGTGTGAAACGAGCATTACGATTCGAGATGAATGAATCGTGCTCGGTACTCACCTGATGAAGCGCCGTGGGCGGATGATGATCCTGCCTGGGTGTGACCGCGTCCGCGCCTATACCGGAATCAGGGCTGGGAAGATCAACGGTCAGCACTTTGCTGCTGCTCGACGACGAGCGTATCGCGTGTGTCGTAGCATATGAGCTCGGCACAACCTCGTACCTCGTGTACGAAGCGGTCGTGGTGGACAATGAGGACGAACTTGACGACGCGAGCGGTGGCAGGGTGTCGCCGGCGACGTAGACTGTCGTAGCCTCCTGATGGAGGCCGCCCGGGTTCGCCGCATTCGCCGTCCCGGTCGCCGACGTGGACGTATATCCGGCCGACTGCAGCCGCGGACTGCATGATGAGTAGGGGTCGTAGGGACTGCCGTATTGCTGCACCTGCGGACAGATACATCGCGGTTCACTCTCCCTCTTTCTCTCTCTCTTTCTTTCTATTTTCTTCGATTATTGCTTTCTTGTTGATTTATGTTTGTACATTTTTACCCCTTTTCTCCGCATTTCCAGATACCACACAGTGTAGCGTTACATCTACTAGCTACCCTAATAGAAATTAACTCTCAGGCTTTGCCTAAGGAAGTAAAACCATATGGGAATAAACCATCTATCTACTCTGGGAAAGAGTACTTAAAACTTTATTTGTGGGAGATGTAAGGTTTATTTCACAGAAATAAATCTTATATTTCCCACAGATAGATTTTTAAGTATTTTTTTCTCAGTATATCCATCTTTCTCACGATTGACGCCTATCGTATCGTTATCGGCGTATATCGGGTGGATCGCATTTACGCGTGCTCTTTTTGTGGAGAAGACGCGCGACGACTCGACCCGCGCATGCAATTGAGCAATCTTCCATAGACTTGGTCGCCACGCGCGAGCGCGCGCGCGAGGGAAGCGCGATTCGCGGAGTGCGAATTTGAACGATGTTATTTTCTCTCGGCAATGACGAACGGGTCGCGTGTTATTTTGCGGTGCCCGCTTATTGCTTTTGGTTATACGTGACACAATGTTTCGGCGATGGGTGCGCAGATACAACATTTACGGACGCGGCTGCGTGCGCACGGAAATCGTGAGCCTTCGAGCAATTTCGCGCCGGCAGATATCTCGCGGTGTGTCTGAAAACACTCGAAAATTGGTATTGTACGGTAAGATTTCTTTTTTTTTCTCGCATTACTTTCACCGTGTTCGACGATCGTGGGATGTGAGATTACGCAGCGGGTTACAGCCTTGAGCGAACTCGCATCCCTGAGAATTCACACGGAAATTCATGTCGCCGCACGCGCAGGACGCGATGTAAGAATATGAACGGTCGACGAAATCGCAACACCAAGTCGGAACTTAACACTTTGCGGTCCGCTGATGGTATAGTATCGTCGCACGAATTTCGACGTTGCAATCCACTGATGATATAGCGATGTTGTGATAATAAAACGTTAATATTAATGATATACTTATATGACTAAAGATAAATAAGATAAATAAAAAGGCAAATATGTGAATAAAAATAAAAGCGAATCTTATTAGATAATATCATAGATATCATATATAAATAAATGCCTAACAAATACGGTGCAAAATCGCAGTCACGCACCAGAAAATGACGAATATGAACGACATGGTTGAAGTAGTAATGGGCGAAAGTGCAGAAATATTAAATAATAGAATTATATCCGACAGAGAATTTTCATCGGTGTTCACGATGAAATTATTATACCTTCAGAAAATATACATTTCTTACAATCAATTATTAGTACATCACCAAAAAATTGTAGGTAATTTTGTATCAGATAGCGCGATAATTTCATACGGAATGCGGACCGCAAAGGGGATGCCGATGACGAACTTGATAAGCGTCGATAACGTAGAAACGACTTTCAAACACACGATTGACACGACGCTGCTCTTCTTGTGCTTTTCGTACATACAGATCTTGCGTAAAGGTAAATAAATATAAATGTGAATGTGATAAATGTATATTACTCTGTTTTTACCATATCTAATCGGAAAATCTATAGAGCAAAGATATAGAAGCATTTTTCTACAAACTTCTCGTATTTTTCTCTAAGCCTCTGAATTTTATTGTAAAAGTATAAAAATGTTCTTTGAAATTTACCTAATTAGAGCACTAACACATCCGATATATACAAGTTGCAGGATTTCTGTATCAGGATAATATTTACGTTAACTGATATTTAAAGATGCCGCTTTGAAATTTTCAATCATTTTCGCCACATACTGAGGAATGCTCCGATTTATTTTCGCGCGCATTTTCGCCGTGTGAAAGCATATACAATTCTGTGCGGTTAATAAAACACGAACGGAAGAACAATCAGAAAATACCGAAAAGACGGTATTCCGTCCGGTAAAGTTTTCGAGTATGACGTTCCCTCGAGGCCGGACGCGGTGAAGGAAAAATCGAACGTCGCGAACGATCACGAGGAGCTCACCTGTAGCGGTTGATGATGATGATGATGGTACATTCCCGGCGGTGTCGGGCTATCCGGCTGCGCCTGTTTGTGCCGTTTGTTGGACTGCTGGCCGCCGCGCGACGAGCTGAGGTCCTCTGGCTCCCTCTTGACCCCGGCGATGCCGGCGCTCGAGGCACCGTCGTGTCGCAGGGACTGCGGGCTCAGCGGAAGCGGAAGGCCACCCTGCAGGCTCTGGCCGGGACTGTGGGACTGCTGGTTGTACTGATGGAGGAAGTGGTGAAGCTCCCCCCCTCCGGCGCCTTCGCCGCCTTCCATGCGATTCGTCGAGGCGGAACCGGAGCCAGGCGCCTCTTGCACCAGCAGCTTCTGGCCCATCACACCCCTTCAACAGTCCGTAGAGAATTGACCTTCAGTTACACGGCTCCTTTAACGGGCACATCTCCCGAGCCGCCGCGATCTCGCGGCAAGCCGAGAGAAGAACGCGTGTCGAATTCGCGCAGTGTATAATCGAGGCCGATATACACGACCCCATTCGCGCTGTCACCGATCGCCTTTCACGGGACCCATCGTCCGGGCCCTTCTCGACCGGCACTATGTCGCTATGTCGCTCGACTTGAAAGGGATCGGATTCTTCGCGGAGTGTCGCGGGAAATAGCGTGTAGGAGGACCGTGCTCCCACGTGTCTAACGGAGATCGGTCTTCTTTAGAATTCTAACGATGATAGCAGCCTCTCTCGAATATCAGATATGAGATCAGGCAGTTGCGTGCGTCGCATACTTCGCGAGTACTAATTCCATTAGCGTGAGGTGTTAAACATTGGAAATTTTCTAATAATAAATATGTGTGTTGGTTATAATTAATTAATTTTAATTAATTGGTTGTAATTAATTATAATATAATTTATCAAATTAACCCCTATCGGACGCTAGCTTTTTATGCGTGATTCTCACTAGGTTGCAGCTGGTTTCGGTAAATATGCGAAAAATTTTCAGTATTATAAGAATAATATTTTTGTTAGAAATTATTTATTTTTTGAAGGAGTATTACAAATATATGGAGTTTCAAATAATTATTTATAAGTTTTTAATGTATGATATTTTTTGAAACAATCTCCAACATGAAGGAATGGTTTTCTGTTGCACGTTTCACAGAAGTATACTGTTGTTTTTCTTCCTCCAGGCAACTTACGATTAGAACATACTAAACAGTCATTATGTTTTCCTTTAGCATCAAGTTGGAGGATATGTAGTTTTCCATCTAATCTCTCCTCATTGTCTGTTGTTGATGGCGTTCCATATCGGAAATTTATAAAATTTTCTTCATTCATTTTTGGGCTCAATATATTAAAAAATTGAGTACAAAAGGCAGTGATATATCACTGGAGATGTCAATTGCTCCGTTGCTTATGCTTAACTGACAAGGCAATCGTACCCACATTTGACAGAGAGCGAGTTTCGACAGGCTCCGACTTGTCACCTCCTACGTGACGTACGATCGCAGCGACGAAGTATTGTTGTCATGTGAGAGGTGACTCACGACCGATAAGGGTTAATATAAAATTACACACACACACACACACACACACACACACACACACATATATAATTAATTAATATAATTAAATGTAACTAACTATGTATTATAATTAATATAAATATTAAAATGATAATAATCAAACAATGAACCCAGTAAACATCAATTATTAGCAACGTAACATTACTATTGTAATTTTCCAGTCAATAATGCAACTGTTACATAACACACTATATTGCATTTACATTATTGAATGAGTTATATTGCATTTACATTATTGATTGAGAAATTATAATATTGATGTTATGTTATAGTTAATTGATATTACTGGTAGATTTACTGGGAAGGAATTAACAAATTTTTTGATTACACACAATGATGTGCCGAGATGTTCATATTGATTGTATTATAGATATTTTTAGAATCCTGTGAATTTTGGCCAAATAATCGATGAAAAGTTAAATAGAGAAATTGAAGATAAATCGGGAATGGAAGAATGTCGTTAGCATCGAGGGAAATTTTCGCAACATCGTCTCGATATCTCAGTAATTAGACACAATTAGATCACTTAGATCCAGCTCTGTGAGTGCATGTTTGTCGAAACGATAATTAAATTGCCAGCTTCGTTGAGGGACACAGGAGACAGACTATTCTTTCATATTCTTCTCTCTCTCTCTTTCTTTTTCTCTTTCTCTCTCCACGCCCTTCCGACGAACGAAATCGCTGAAGAGAACCGCCGCCGCTTGCACTTCCGCCCGTCTCTCCGACTCACACAGCACGTCGTCGAATCTGCATCTGCCGAATTCGGCAATAAAATTTTCGACGCGCGCGCAGCGAAGAGACGCGATTCGCTGATCGACCGTGCAAGGGAGGAATCGAGAGGATCGCGGTATTATGCGAAGTAGTTAACATGTTATATTTAGCATGATAATACGTATCCACAATACGGGGGACCCTTATAAACTGCCAACGCTCTCGCCCATGCCGTGTCTTTCCCTTCTCCTCCATCCTTACCGTCGCGTCTCCTCGTCTTTTCTGTCGACGAAGGATCGCCCCTCGCGCGTCCTTGCGCCGCGCGTCCTGGCATTTCTTCTCTCTACCAGACTCCTCTTTCTCTTTCTCTCTCTCTTTAACCCTTTTTCTCCCCAAAAAAAGTACACATCCCTCTGTCCGTCTTACTCTATCCTTCAGCATCGTCGTTGTGGTACCTACCCTACGGTCAGATGCTTCCGTACAATGGCTTTTTTTTACGCTTGATACCTGATCTCTCGTCTACCACTCTCTCTCTCTCTCTCTCTCTGTCTTTCTTTCTCTTTTTCTGCTTCGCCTTTCTCGACCGCCTGGCAATACGACGGGAAGGGTGACGCCGAGAGGATGAGACTATCCGATGTGTCTCGCGTCGCCCCCGGCACACTTGTGCCTGAAGAGGTGCGGATAGGCCCGACCGGGACCGAAAAAAGGCCCCGTCGCGAGACCGGGCACGAATGCACCGCGATGTCATAACCTGGGGCAATGGCGACGCGGGCCTCATGAATTCGGCTTATGTGAAATAGATCCGCGCTCCTTCCGCGCGATCGGTGCCTCTCGCGAGAGCGTTTCCGATAATGTGATGCTAATCCGAGGTCGCGCGATGCGAAACGAGATTCGCGTGCGACGCACCTTGGGAACTCAACGCGCACCCTTGGTGTTTCCGAACGCGCGAGGTGCGAAGTATCGGATTGCACCGAGCGTCGCGGGAAGACCCACTGGCGTTTTAAGCTCCTGACAATGTCGACGGTTTTGTGCAACTGTCGTCAACATATCTCCGTCCGGTTCTAATTATGCGCAATCGGCAACGGAAGCGTCCGTTAATTCGCGTATGATTACCTTCAGCTGCAAAGAAAAAAAATTAATATCGTTTCAAGACTCATATTCTTATGTATAGAAATGAGAATATGTAATCTTTTATGATGATAAAACTCTCACTTGAAGAAATTCTGTGTAGTTCCGCTGAAAATGTATTCATGTTGTTCAAGAATAATTCTCAAGAATTGAATGGAGAAAATGTTTATTGCAGACAAATACGGAGACAAATAATTTACTGGCATAGCAAATTTCATGCTGTCGCAGCAAAATCTGTCGATTACTATGTGAACAGCAAGACGATTTGTTAATAACAGTAATCGTCATTTGCTGGATTATTTTGCTGTAAGAACAAATTAGTAAATGTAAGAAAACTCTATTTTGTCGTAACAGCAAATTGATGTGTCTTAAGGATAGTTCACTTTGCAAAACACTTTTTTATCCTGGTAATAAAACCGTTTCTGTTATAATTACTTGAATTGAATAATTCGCTAATTTGATTATGCCAATTAAATCTGATTGCTGTCGCAATAAATATGCAGCAGCAACGAGATGTGGTTTCGCTACAGTAAAATTATTTTTCCCCGCGTAGAAAAAACAATGTCTTCAGACAAGAATTTTATCAGTTAGAAGATATCGTTCTTTCTATCCAATATTTTTTCCCCTCGATTTATAAAAATTATTCTTAAATAACAAAAATATGACTTTTTAGTGGAACTATGTAGAATTTAAATATTATATAAGATAGCTCTTATACATTTTTTTGTGGTAAAACCAAAGAGAAAGAAAGGATAATAGGCTTTTAAGAGTTAAAATACAGATACGTTCTAGTACGATTTGAATATTAATATCATCATTAATATTACTTGATTGTAGGAGGATAAAGCTTGGTTATGTATTAACGCACGCATCGAATTTATTCTTTGGATCGCGTACGCGGAGAATCAAGCCTTCCACGTCAAGCGAATCCTACATATCCTGAATAATTGAATAATCATTAAATATTGCGAAAAATACTGTGTCAGCGAGAAACTTTATCCCCCCGCAATTGTATTAATATTTAAATCGTATGCTTCTATATATGAGAATAAGAGTCTTGAATTGATATTAATTTTTTCCGTGTAGACGACGACAACCAACCGTTGTGAGTGAGGTGAAAAAGCACAAATATTAACATATATAATTTTTTCAAAGTGGCATTTTCGCGTCTAGTGAAAAGTCTTCAAAGCTGGACGAGGACTTTCGCTCAATCGATCCGCTTCGATTTCGTTCGGACGCGTGTAAAAGCACGTGGCATCCGTGAATGCGGGAGCACTAAGAGCGCGCCTTGGCGCAAACTTTCAACGGGGTGTTGTCGAGCGACGTGCGAAACGAAGTGTTTTTTTCGCAGCGGTTGAGGAGTTAAGTGCCGAATGTTAGTGGTTAGGCGAGAAGGAGAGAAACGGAAAAGTACACACAGGGCTGGTCGAGAGAGAGAGAGAGAGAGAGAGAGGAGTTTAGCATAAAACGAGGAAAGGGTCAATGCTCGCTTTCGGTCGGTTATTTCGTGGAGCTGTCTACGCCCGTTGCGACCAGTTTTTCGCGGCGTGATTCGCGCGCTCGCGCGAAAAAGACCGAGAATGTCAACGTTCGAGCAGCGATTGAGTGCACCCGCAATGTGAGCCGGGAAATCGCGATGGCATGCTAGCGGTACATCGCTTTTGTCTCGCCCAGCCCGAGAAAAGTCAACCGTTCTGTCTTCCTTCAGCACGTAATAAAAAATGAAGATAGAACGACGCTTTCAGCGCGAAAGCGTGTAAGACGAACTGAAAAAAGTACAACATGTAAAGCTCTTCGACGTACAATCAAATATCAAAGAACTGGACCATCAAGAGCCGAAATACAGGTCGTTTAGTGCCATTGTATACAAATTCGAGTAAAAAATCACTTAATATGTTGTCAAAACATCAAGTTGGACTCTGACATTTTAACAATACATTAAATGATTTTCAACTCGAATCGCGCAAT